TTGATTTAGATACCTTTTATCGTCTCACAGAATATATGATCTTTCTTTTTAATAACTTTTATTATAAACTCAGAGTATATGTATACCTCTCAGAAGATAGTTTTTGGGGCTACTACCCCAATCTCCGGTGAAGTAATCCCCTCAAATTTTACAACTAGATACACAATTTACTTTCTATCTTTAAGAATTTTCAGTGGTATGTATTTTAATAGTTCTTTTATTTTAGATGATAATGATAAATATGATGTACCAAATTAAAAATAGTCGAAGTTACCTGCTCAGATCTACATTCCGAGGCTGATAAGGTACCTACTAAAAGAAAACAGGTGCCAACTAGAAAGCTGTCATTCGATGATACTGAAGATGATGAAATCGTAAAGCATGCTTGCCCACCCCCAATTAAAATCAAATCTACAATTAGGTATGTTGTGTCAGTTCCTCTAATATTCTTTTCTCATTTTATTCCTTTTGGTTTCTTGCACATGCCTTTTTTTATTTACCAGTGTAATTTATTTTTTATAATATATTTTTCATATGTTTTTTGGATTAAATAAATAACTTTCATCTGCTTAGTATTTTTAATAATTCCATCCAACTTTGGGACACCCAATATAGACGTCACTTTGACGTTAGGTAGATTCGCGATAATGACGTCAATTTGCCTAGCCTAGGACACCCAATATACACGTTACTTTAACGTGATATCGATTCGTCAAAAACACGATATGGAATGACGTCATTTCGCTGTGACATTCTCACGTTACCATAACGTTATTTTCACGTCATCAAATGACGTAACGCATACCAAAAAATCACGTCATAATGACGGCATGATGTTGCATGGGAAAAATTTTCAATGATGGGAATGGGATCTTGTTGGATATTAGGTTGTCTTATTTCATTGTCTTAAGAATAAAAACAAACAAGATTTATTAAGTTGCTACTATAAACATTGCTTTACTCTACCTTGTCGTCGAAACGTAGCATAGCATTGGTTGCAAATGCGCGAGTTTCCTCCAGGCTCTACCCAGTCAATTTCTCTGCGTGCTTGAATATTCAGTAGAAACTGCCAGTAGGTTTCATTATTGGCCGCTATTGTAGTACTTTTTTTATTGATGTACCCATCGCACCCAAAACACTTTATTGGGGCCATGTAAAATTATCGAATATAGATACAAAAAGTGTAAAAATAAAAAGTTATTCGAACTAATTAAATAATAAACGAATTGAAAAGAGAATGATGCAATAAAGAAATATTCTAATTAAATAATAAACGAACTGAACAGAAAACGATATAATAAAAAAATATGCTAACTAATTAAATAATAAACGAATTATTTCACTTCTGAGTCATTATAATAATTAAAACGAAACGTTGCCACATTGAATTTATTGACATTACTCGTTTCTAAGCAGTTAAAAGATTTAAATTTTTTGTCATAGACCGCCCAAATTTCCCTATCAGAAGCCTACCCTCTTTTGATACCGTATTTTGTTTTTTATTTTCCATATAGGTTCTGAATGAAAGCCGCCCACGGAATAATAGTAAAGGCTCGTCCAGAGATAACTCTTTACCTGGTGTATAAGCGTCTTAAAAATTTTGTGAGACAAATATTCAATAAGCTTCTAATCTTTTGAAGTCTATCATTGGGATCAGGAATTTCATTACCACTATGTACAAAAAAACACCGTTTGTTCAAAGCATCTTCCACTCATTACTGAAGAAAATATTGGATGGTCGTTCAATGGGTCAAAACTAAAAAGTTTTCTAATATTCTGGACTTTAATTTGCCCTTGCAGTAAACATAAACCAATAAACTTCTGCATTTCATCTCGAAATGTCTCTTTGAAAGACGCACTTCGTGAAAATTCTAGTTTTAGGGCATGATTGTCTAGTTAGGGACTTCCCATGAGTATTTGTGGATTTCACCAATAACTCCATTATATCATATTCCAGAGTTGACTAGAAATATCAAATGGCGAAGAATTTATATCTACATATAACTTGACTCCTATTTATGTATGGTCAAATCAGAAGTCATCTATACTCGCAGTATCACTGTTTTATTCATCATTTTCATTAATATGCTGCACGATTGTCTCGTTCTTCAACTACGTCTGCAGCAATGTTTTCGTCGGCATCCGATTCTTGACCAACTTCTGCAGAAACATCATCTGACTCATTAGGAGATTGTCGGTCCTGAAAGCCGAAGTAAAAAACAAACACAAAAACAAAATTTATTTAGACTTACCTCTGATTTGATATTACACTCAGATCAATATCGTTATTTTCAGGATGATAGGTGCTATCTCCCTCCGAATCAGATATCTCACTATTATACCCAGACAGCACACCAACTCCTTTGGATATCTACTGAACATCCCAATATCCACTGAATGTCCAGTCCATGGTAGATATCTATTTTATATCCATGAAATGTAATTTATAGACATGCAAATTTCCATAAATAATAGTAATTATATAGCAAATTATTAAAAAATTACGCCATTGTGCTCGCCATTGTGGCTAATAGTACCGTTCAGATATTTAAAATTAATTTTTTTAAGGTGTATTCAATATCCCATGAACATCCACTAAATATATCAAAGTCTAGGCGCGAACGCAAACCATCGTGGATATCCACTAGATGTTATTTGATTCTGCTTACTAAGTATAGATGGCGATACAACTATCGCATCTACTCATGCTCGACCCGCCGTAATTGAGTTCGATCGAAATGTGTGTCGTAATCACTACATTGGAGACTGGAGTGTTGAAAATATTTTGAGTGTTGAAAATATTTTTTATCTCTGCTATTTTCTTTCGACGTTATTCAATATTCATTGGTTACTTATGAACCTCTACTAAAGATACCTATAAAATATTTTGCTGAATATCCGAATATCTTCTATATCCTGGGATATAGACGGACATTTGGTTGGATATCCATATTGGATATATTGAATATCCACAAAATATATTCTGTGGATATCTCTGTGATTTCTTGTATTTTCTGGAAGATACCTATTAGATATTTTGCTGAATATCCATTAGGATATCTTCTATATCCTGGATATAGACGGACATTTGGATACCCATATTAGATCCACGGAATATTTTTGATATCCTGTGGACATATTGGATATCCACAAAAGATATTCTGCGGATAATCTCTGGGATTTGGTGTGTTGTCTGGGTAGCCGTCACACTCAACACTTCTACTTCATCAAAAAGTTTCATAAGACGTTGTTTTTCCTTTGGATTCATTGCAAATTCAAACAATAAATACTCTGTATATTTAGCAGTATTTTTCACACACAATAACTAATGAAACGAAAGTAAAAAAGGAAAAACTGCACATTTCAGTGTCGTTTAAAATAGCATAAACAATGAGAACATGACGCGCATGACACATAATCTTAGAACATATATAGTCAGGAAGGAGCATGCTATGTCCGCGTTAATCTAATTGATCTGACGGAAGTGGTAGCCATGTTGTACCTTAGAATATATATAGTCAGGAAGGAGGAATCCTAAACGACCTTGGAATCGCGATGGTATCTAATTTTAACAGTGAACTAGACGAATATGGCGACAAGTGTTTCCGGTCTACCAGTGACGTACTGTCATAAAGGGGCGTAGAAAAGAAAATAATAAATTCTCATTTGCATATTATCTAAATTTACCAATTTCTCTCATTTTAACGAATTGCTATTTTTTTGCAAGAATGCATTTTTTTTATTAACCTTCATAGGGGTCTATTCTGTAACAATTCCTTTATATTTAACGGCCTTTAAAAATATTTTCTTCTTTACTTCTGTCATTATTTAAACGGATCTTTAAAATACATTAGAGTACTATCTTAAAGAAATCTGTTTAAATAATGACAGAAGTAAATTAACGAATACAAATATACTTTTAAAGGCCGCCAATATTTTTAAAGGCCGTTAAATATAAAGGAATTGTTACAGAATAGACCCCATTATGTGAAAAATTTTACTTTAAAATTGCATGTTTGGTGGGATAAATATAGGAAAATATTTTTGGGATAATTTATAGAGGGATATAATTTGAAAAATCAAAGCAATAATGTATTAAAAAATATATATTGACTTTTTTACGTCTTTATTACGACAATGACTTTATTAATCTACATTTTACAAATTATTAAGGTTTGACAAATAAATATGTTTTGTATTGTAGATATGCGTTAAATTAAAATATCTTATACATATTTAGGTCAAACACCGCTGTGATATTTCTTTCTTAGATGTTTTTGTTGGAGTACATATAAAACTTCCTAATATCGAGAATTTCTGATTATTTTATTACAAAAAGCTAGCCCCTTCCTATAGAAACAATAAAAGGTAACGTTCAGTAGTTTCTTATAAGTATTACAAATGATATCAAATACCTTACAGTACAAATTGACTCTCATCATAACTGGACTAAGCATACAAATAATGCGTTGAATGTACATTTAAAAATAATCTATTTTGCACTCATATAATCATTATTACGTTATAGGATCCTTTCTTGGAAAGGTGTTTTATCTGCTTATGCAAAATTGTCCTGCAAAAAATATTACTAATAATATGTAATAAAATAATCAGAAATTCTCTTCGATATTAGGAAGTTTTATATGTACTTCAACAAACACATCTAAGAAAGAAATATCACAGCGGTGTTTGACCTAAATATAAGTAGGTATAGGATTTTTAATTTTTTTTAACGCATATCTACAAAACATTTATTTTTTAAACCTTAATAATTTGTAAAATGTAGATTAATAAAGACGTTAAAAAGTCAATATATTTTTTTAATACATTATTGCTTTGATTTTTCAAATGAAATCCCTAAATATTTTCCTATATTTATCCCACCCAACATGCAATTTTAAAGTAAAATTTATTCACATAATGAAGGTTAATAAATGTTCTTTGGCTCGTCCCATTTGTATATTCTTTATTAAAATAAATAAACAAACAAACACAAAGTTTGGTATTCTTTACACAATTTATTCATTATTATTGATAAATACTACATATTCTACTTAATAATAATATTGAGCATCCATAAATATACAAGAAGTAGTCTAAGCGTTCAAGTAGCAGAAAAGAAGTTTTCAAATATTGATCTAACTACAAAAAAAAAACGAAAATAAACAATATTTTTCTGCTAGTCAAACAACTGAGACTGATTTGGGATACGCAACACAAATTGTAACACTAGATAAATATTAAGAGCCGACATGTATTACAAGAAATGGCTTTTTTCAAAGTAAAATAAAACGACACTCCAAAAATTGTATAGTTACAAAAGTGTAAAATTTCGTCAGTCATGTTCGCAATAGATATTTTTTAGCGTTCTTTGGTCCAGTAACCTTCATTTTTAAGACAAAAATCTTGTACAATAAGTCATTGGAAGTTTAGTTAAAAGTTTTATTAAAAAAGTGGATTTCGACCAAAGTTTAAAACTTTTTTATCCATAACTAGATTTGTTGAAATAAATCAGATACTTGTATAAAGATTATCATTTTAAAAATATTTTTGAATAGACTTTTGTCTACTCAGGCTACAGAACCAAAAAACATCTACTATATTCTATATAGTCGAGTATACAATACATTCGCGTTGATCACTTAGAAAATTTCGCGTTCTTACTGCACCAATTTATACGCTAAGACATTTTTCGAACCTTCTTTTTATAAAAAGGCACAACTACCTATACTTTACGTCCGTTTTTTGGCACCCAAGAATGCTTGTTTAAGTAGTACGTGAGCCTGTCTAACTGAGACGAAAATACTATGAGGAGAATAACAAATTTTTATAATTAGTAGACCAATCAACAAGGAACTCCTCTTAAGAAAGGAATATAAACAGATCAAAATTTATTCTCTTATTAAAACCATAGCTTACGTTTTTTTGGATAAAGTAATAAATAAATCTACAAATCTGAATCCACAGGTACTTTAATGAACCTTTCCCAAAAGCTGCATAGAACTCTGTTAATGACTATAGAACTTTCTCACATAGCATAAACCAATATCAGTTGACCATGTTTGAGAATCAGTCTCACCGAACTCATAAAAGAACGAAGAACGTTTTTCATGATAGTTCTAAGTATATCACATATTCTGGGCTCATTATGGTTTTCTCATAGATTGGGATCAAATTATGTTCTACATGAAAATGTCAACGACGGATTAAAATTTGATCCAACTATATACCTTCATTCATTATTGTTTGGTCTAGAAATATTATTGGACACGAATTTTAATGGTATTGTCTATGGTCAATATAAGTTACTATTTCTTAACGTACCAGAGTTGAAATTATTAGAATAGAAACTAACTTCTTCATATGAGAACTATTAGAAAAGTTGTATGGAAAGGTTATCCATAAAGTAATTAAATTTATAATCTTAAAAAAATAGGAATGATCTAGATAATATTCAATTAAAATTGGTTTTGAGTTATTTAGATAAGCTATCCATAGAAAGTGATGCGATGTTCTGTTTACATTAGATGGTTCACTAAAAACTGATAAAGTACAAAAGAAATTAACAACACCATAGACTACTTTTAAAAAGCATGACAAACAAATTTTAGAAGAACCAAATAAACTACAAACTATCTGTACATTTCCAAATAATATGGTATTTCATTGTATTTTCGGCTCACTTGTACCAGCAAAAATACTTCCTTCTTTAGTTAAAGAGTTCGAGGACACTAGATTTCAATTTGCATAAAATTGTCTGTATCACTTGCACAGTTTTGTGGCATTGTCACTATTTAATATTTAATTGTTCGTTCATCTCCTTCTCCTAGATGCCGCCGCAATCATTTGTCGCAGCATTGGTTCAGGACTACACTGTTTTGGATCACATTTCATTTGGCCATCTCCACCGCATCTAAAGAAAATCAAATTGTTAACTTCTAAACTATGAATTTTACTAATCATTTTTGTCATTTTGCAAGATTTGCGATTTTACGTTTCACTGATTACAAAATTGTATTTATATGCGTGCCACTGGGGTTACTTCAGGATATTATGTGTCTCGAAAATATTGAGAGCTTTAAATTTGTGCAGCGATAAGGCAATTCTCTGCAGAGACATTGAATAGGAAAAGCTAGGAAACCCTCCCACCAGATATTTATTAAAGCAAAAAACAGCAAATTTTTGTAGATTTAATACAGAATGGCACGTAAATGAATTTTTTATTACTCTTTAAAAATTATCAAAATAAATAGGTACTTTTCAAAGGTTTACAAAAAAATAAAAGTTTCTCCACCCTAAGTTTTGTTATTATCTTTACCTGAAAATTTCTCAAAAACCAAACTAAAGGCTCAGAAGGAATTATAAATTTTCAAGGTGTTCGGTTTAAATAATATTGTAATTATGTTCCCAATGGAAGTCATATAAAAAATTACTTACGTGCAGTGCATACATGGCCCTGAGGCAGATTTAATGTATTCTCCTACTTTGTAGGCTTTTCCGTCAATCTGGCATCCATTTCTCGTGGCCCTGCCTCTAACATGAGCCAAGAAATTAGGAGGTAACGTCGTAGTCGTTGTAGTTGTTGTGGTCGTTACATTAAGGGAAGTGGCCATCGAAACGGGACATTCATACCTAGGACAACAGAACCCTCTGATAGGTTCTTCGTGGCAGTTAGGAATAGGAGGTGGACAACTCTGTTGAAGACATATGATGTCACTTCTAAAGCAGAAGCAGAAATCACAGGGATCATCTCTTGGAATTTGTTGTGCGGAAACGAACACTTTACCACCATATCGGCATGTTCCAGGGCCCAAAGGACTTGGTTCTTCTTCTTCATCATAATCTTCCCCTGGGAATGGTACTTCAGGAATGTGTTCGTGCTCTCCGGATATTTCATGGCTTTTCTCAGGTTCAGGTGTGATTGGAAACTCTGTCGATTGAGAAAGTGGGATTGAGGTAGACAGTTCTCCTTCAACTTGAGTTCTAAATGTTGATGATTCGTGAGGACCAGACGTAAACAGTTCAGTAGATTCGTTCTTGGAACTTTCAGTACTGAGTTGAGGTGACGTAAATATTTCTTCTTTGGGAGATGTTGTAGCCTTTGAAATTTCTCCAGTACGTGTCGTAGCAGTTTCCTCTGTTTGCATTACAGCTGGTCCGCTAGTTACAGGAGCTTCAACTGGTCCGCTGGTTACAGGAGCTTCAACTGGTCCGCTAGTGACAGGAGCTTCAACTGGTCCGCTAGTGACAGAAGCTTCAGCTGGTCTGGTAGTCTCAGAAGCTTCAGCTGGTCTAGTAGTTGTTTCTCCTTTACTTTCTGTGATTTGTTCAGAAATGGGTGCTGATTCAGTTGGAACCTCAGTACTTTCAGATGGTGTTACTTCCGTCGGTTTAATTTCGGTATCACGCATTTTGCCTGGTTCTGTAACACTTACAGAAGTTGGGGTCTCCTTTTCGGTGACACCTTCATGTCTAATAACAGGTGTTAATCCTTCGTTATCAGTTACATGTTCATCTGAAGAAACCGGTTTTAACGTAGTTTCGGCACCAGCAGGTACCTCACTAGCTGGTTGTGTTTTCGGAACACCTTCTGTCAAAGAAGTTGGTTCTTCAGTTGGCTTTCCTTCTACTGTCTTTTCGGGCTGTTCAGATTCTGTTGATGGTTGGGTTCCACTTTCAACGGGCATTTCTGAGGATTTCTCACCCAATTCAGTTACAGGTCCGATTTCTTGTTCTCCTTCAGTAACAGATTCTTCAGTTGATTTTTCAGGCACCTCTGGCTCTTCTTTTGGTATAGTTGTCGTAACGTCAGTTTTCCTCTCTGGTGTAGTTGGACTTTCTGTTTCTACTTCTGGTAATCTGTCATTGATAGAAATAGGTTTTTGTTCACCACTTATTGTAGTACTTTCATCATTTTCGTTGCTTTGCTCCTCTTTAGAGATCGTTGTTAATTCGATTTCAGTCGGTAAATCTTTAATGCTTCCGGGTGTTGTTCCTTTAGCTTGTTTTTCTGTTTCAGTTTCTTGTTTTTCTGTTTCAGTTTCTTGTTTTTCTGCAACCGTCTCTGTTATTTGTTCACCATGTCCTTCAGTTGCACTTTCAATTTCTTTAGTGCGGGTAACACTTGGTATTGTTGTAGCTTCAGGTTGTTTTTCTAGTTCACTTGCAGGTTTCTCAGTTTCTTGAACAGCTTCTACTGTAGAAGGTTTTTCAATTTCTTCAACAGAGGCTATAGTAACAGGTTTTTCGGTCTCTTGAACAGCAGAATCTGTGGTAGGTTGCTTAGTTTCTTTCGGTTTTTCTTGTATAATAGTTGGTGGTGTTGTTTCAATTTCAGTCTTTGTTTCAGTCACATGGTCGGCAGATTCAATAGGCTTATATCCCATTGGTTCCTTTTCTTCAGTAACTTGCTCAGTAGATTCAGTAGTTACTTCTGATTGCCTAGTTTCACCCGATTGTGTTACTAAAGAAATAGGCGATTCTGGTGAAGATTCTTTTTCAATTTCAGCACTATACGTGGAATCAGTTCCTGAAGGCGATACTGTCGTTTCGACAATCTCAGTTATTTCAACGGGTTGTTTAACTTTAGTAACACTTTTTTCGGTGGGTTTAGACTCTTCCAATGGAGCTAAAGTAGTTTGGGTTACTTCGAATTTCTTTTCTGTTGATAATTCCATGATTTCGTTTCCTTCTGTTTCAACTGAAGCCGCTGATTCAGTTTGTCCCTTGGGTGAAGTTTGTTCGGTTGCAGATTCTGTTGTTAATTTACTTTCAGGTAATTCTGTAGCCTCTTCTGGAATTTGAACTCCCTCTGTAATTTCTGTTTCTTCCACTCGCGGAGTTGTTTGTTCCTCTGGTATTGTCGGTTTCTTTGTTTCAGGTTGAGGCTCCGTTTGTCCTTCAGATGGAATTTCCGTTCCTATTTCTGGTAATCTATCCTTGATAGTTACTGCGTCTGTAACTTCTTCTCCATGTTTAGTTTCCTCTGTAACTTTCTCCACAGTGGGCTGAGTTGTTTCCTTCTCACTTTCGGTTCCGATCTTTTCAGTTGGGGTTTCTAATTCGGTAGTTGGTATAGCTTCTGTTCGTTTTTCTATTTCAGGTTGTTTACCAGGTGCTGCTTGCTGCCAGGTACATCCTTCTTTAGTACATGTTTCTTCAGGTGTTTGTATTTCATTTTGAGACTCATCATGTTCTGGTGTAACAGAATGAACAGATTCAGTTGTTACCTCTGTACCTTGTTGAGGTTCACCAACCTTAGGTTCTGTTTCAATAGGTACAGCGACGGTAGTGCCTTCGGTTTCAATATGTTTTTCTCCATATGTTGTTAATTCTACTGGAAGTTGCGTAGTTTCTTCTGTTTTTTCTGTTGGTGATGAACCGGAACCTTCTTCTTCTTCTACTACTGTAGTTGTAACTTCGGGAATCTTAGCTGAAAAAAAAATAATTAATACTAGTAAAGATGAGAATTTTATAAAATGCTTACCACAACTCCATGCGGGACAGCAAGTACCACGTGGTTTAGGTGTAATAAGTTCGCATCCTTCGGGCGGTTGTGGACAAGTTATATCTTTACATCTTACAATTGAACTGACACATCTACAAGAAGCTTGGCAATGGTTATATACAGGTACATCTGAATTATTACTGTATGTTTTTCCTTCAACCAAGCAACTGCCTTCTCCAGGAATTCCATGTTCTCTTTCTTCTTCTGGTGTAACTTCGGTTTCTGATGGAGATACTTCTGTTGTGAAATGAGTACCATCATCACTAGGTGATACTTCCTCTTTAACTGAAATCGTGGTTTTAGAAGCTTCGTATGTTGATTTTTCAGTGTAAACCACAGGTATTTCTGGTTTAACTGTTTCTTTTTCTTTAGGAGTTGCTTCGTGAGTACCAACTGTTGTTTGTTCTTCTGAAAGTTCAGTTGTAATTTCCTGAAGTATAGCGGTAGTTGTCTCACTCGGTTCTTTGCTCCTCTCCTGACCTGATTTTTCAGTAGTTTCATATTGAGGAGTAACTATTACAACTGGTTCTCCAGAAGATTGTTTTTCTGTTGCACTGGGTTCAACAGAAGGTTCTTTCTCAGTTGGTATCTCATTTTCTCTTACATCATGCGGTGTTGTTGTTGTTGTTGCTGGTCCTTTAGTTTCCTCTGATATCTCTTTTTCCTGTTCCTTAATGTCAGGTTGACTAGTTGTCTGTTGTTCTTCTCCTGTGCTTAGTTCAGATACTCTTTCAACTATATCTAATTTTTGTGTTGTAATTTCTTCAGGCTCGATCTTAAGTGTAGTTTCTTGAGGTTCGACCTTGGAAGTTTCTTCAGGTTCGATCTCAGGTGTAGTTTCCACCAACTCAATCGTAGGTGTAGTTTCTGCCAATTCTATCTTCGGTGTAGTTTCTGCCAATTTGATTTTAGGTGTAGTTTCCTCCAACTCATTTTTATGTGTTGTTTCTGCTAATTCGATTCTAGGTGTAGTTTCTGCTAACTCGATCTTAGGTGTAGTTTCCGCCACCTCTATCCTAAGTGTAGTTTCCACCAAGTCGATCGTAGGTGTAGTTTCCACCAATTCTATCTTAGGGGTAGTTTCCACCAATTCTATCTTAGGGGTAGTTTCCACCAATTCTATCTTAGGGGTAGTTTCCATCAATTCTATCTTAGGGGTAGTTTCCACCAAGTCGATCCTAGGTGTACTTTCCTCAGTTGTAAAACCGTCAGATACTTTCTCATGTAATACAGATTCAGTAGCCTTTTCTGGCTCTTGAGTTTCTTTCAATGGACCTTCTGGTATTTGATTAGATTCAGTATGATCAGATTCCTTTTCAGGTATCTCTTCTGTTGGTATTTTTTCTACTTTTTTACATGATTCTTCAGTACATTCTTCAACAATTTCTGGAATTTCATTGGATTCTTTAGCAGGTGCAAATGTAGTTTGTTCTTCAAGTCCAATTCTAGGTGTAGACTCTCTAGTTTTTTCAGTCGATGCGCTTTCAGGTACTGCAGCAGAAGATTCTGTCTTCTCTTCAGATGGTTTTGTGTGACCCGATTCTGAAACATGATCCATAGACAATGGTTTTTCAGTATCGTTTACAGGTCCACTAGTTACAATTTCAAATTCTTCTGTCGTGGTACCTTCAATTTCTTGTTCAGTTGCTGTTTCTTGAGAAGTAAATTCTTCTGTTGTCTTTGGAGTAGTAATTTCTTGTTGTCGCATAACACCTTCTGTATCTTTAGTTTCATCAGTTACTTTAGGTCGCTCGGTCGATTTTGATTCTTCTGTTTGTGTATGCCCTTCTGTTGGTAGCGATTCTTCTGTTGGTTGAGATTTTTCTGTGGGTTGAGATTTTTCTGTTGGTTTTGACTCTATTTCTTGAGGCTCTTCAGTTGGTTTTGACTCTATTTCTTGAGGCTCTTCAGTTGGTTTTAATTCTTCTGTTTTTTGAGGTACTTCTGTTTCTTTAGGTCCCTCTGTTCCTTTAGGTACTTCTGTTTCTTTAGGTCCCTCTGTTCCTTTAGGTATTTCTGTTTCTTTAGGAATTTCTGTTGTTTCGGATATGTCTTTTTCTGCTGATCCTTCTATTTCTGTAGTTTCCTCTAATTTCTTTGGTCCTTCTGTTGGTTTCGTTTCTTCTGTTTCTTTAGGTTCTTCTGTTGGTTTAGTTTCTACTGCTTCTTTAGGTTTATCTGTTGATTTTGTTTCTTCTGTTTCTTTGGGTTCTTCTGTTTCTTTAGGTCCGTCTGTTGGTTTAGTTTCTTCTGTTTCTTTAGGTTCTTCTGTTTCTTTAGGTTCTTCTGTTGATTTTGATTCTTCTTCATTTACTACTGGTAGAATAGTAGATTGTTCAGGTGCTTTTGAAGTGGTTAATTCTTGTTTTCTTATTTCGCCCTCTGTGATTTTAGTTCCATCCTCACTAGTACCTAATTGGGTAACAGTACTTTCGACTTCCGGTAATTTGGTTGGGGGCACTTCAGTTTCGTGTTGTTTCTCTTCGGGTGTGGGCTTTGGACTTTCTCCTTCTTGATCAATTGGACGTGTGTGTGCATCTTCAGATCCTGGAAGAGGCGTGGTTAATTCATTTCCTTCAGGCTCTTCACTATGGTCATGACTAGCAGGTTCTTTTCTTTCTGTTACGTTTTCAACTGAAAGTTCTGTAGTACCTTCTTCCGGACCAGTATGTGACACTTTAATTTCTTGTACTGGTTTTTTTTCAAGTGGACCTGGAGTTGTTTCTTGTTTAAGATCTGGCGCTTCTGTTGTCAATATTTCTTCTTTCTTCTTTTCTCCATATAGAGCAGTTGTAATAGCTTGTACAAGATCGGTAACAGCTTCTGTTACTGCTGAGGTAATACTTTCGGTTACAGTTTCAACTGCTTCGGTAGTAAGTCCTTCTTTTTGTTCTGTTTTTGGAGTAGAAGATGCTTCCTCCTTTTCTCCTTCTTTTCTTTCGCCCTCAGTTTCAAACTTGTTTCTGTCTTTAATAAGTGGAGTTGGCACTGTTGTTGGCGGCACTTTAGGTTCTTCAGTTTCGCTCTCTGTAGTTAATTCATCAGCACGAGTGATTATCGTAGGTTGAGTTGTAGGCACGTATGAAGATATGGTTGTTAGGTCTTCTTCGGAAATCATATCACAGTCGTAAGTGTCAGGGCAACACTGGCCTTCTTTTATAGGGAAAGCAGTACAGTTAACTTTATCAAGTGGTGTTGGACCACATTCTTGTACTGCACAAACTATGTCTCCTCTCATGCAATAGCATTTCTCGCAAGGAATGTCTTTCTTGACGAGAGCTCCATCGCCGTAAATGTCGTTATTATAAATACACTGTGTAGGAGATTGTGTAGTTGTTGGCAGAATTGTAGTAGGGCTGGTTGTTGTTGTTGTTGTAGTCAAAAGAGGTCTTGGTGTCGTTTCTATTTCTGGGTGATCTAAAAAATTTTAAATATTTTTAAATCTGTAATTTCTTAATAGAAAAAAAAAGTGAAATAAGAAAAGAACTTACCACAATCATATCTCAGAGGACAACAAATTCCATCAATGTAAACTGGTCGACACCCTTCTACAACCTTTCCTGTTAATGTACATTCTTGTATAATACAAGCAGTCTTGTTTCTAATGCAGTAGCAAACCTCACAAGGGTTACTAGGATTAGAAGGTACTTTCGCACCATCGGCATAGAAGAGATTATCTATGGAACATCCATATTCGTTGAGGTGTCCAATGGCAGTGGAAGGCGCAGTTGAAGCGTCGTGGGAAACTTGCACATGAACTAAAATAATGAGAAAATGAGCTTTTTATATGGTATTAAATTTAATTAAATTCAAATGAGATAAATAATATGAAGGTTTGGAAATGCAAGTGAGATAAATAATAAGAAAATTTGCAAATTTAAATATTACATGAAAGGAAGAATATAAAAGGTAACGAAAATTTATGATTTTATAAAGAATTTAAATGGTAGGATGTGGAACTATCGTATATAAAAAAATAAAACTGGAATATGTAAGACATGATACAATTTCCAAATGATTTCCTGAATTTGTAAATACTATTTAGAAAAGAAAAAAATTACCTAGGCTTCAAGTTAGATAAAAAATATAAACATACAGATTCTTGATTCTGAAAAGAATAGTTGATAAAAAAAATATTTCTCCTACCTTCTGGACAGGTGATTACAGGACAGCACTGATCCGCTTTTTTTTCAACTTTGCAATCCTGGCCGATGGCCTTCGTGAACGGACATACCCTCAGATAACACATAAGCATCCTATTATGGCAAGTACAATTTAGACATGGCTCGTTCGTGATTATCCTGTCTCCTTCGTCGTAATGTTCGAAATTGTAGTAACAACCAGTTGCATCGGCGACTGAAAAAAAATATATATTTAAGACAAAATAAAAATATCAACTAATATTTTATATAAAAATTCAGATATGTTTACGTCGCCAATCATTAAAAATTAAATAAATTTAAACTGAAGCAAGGCAACAGCAAGCCGTTTATATATTCGTGTAGTACTTCAATTTTTTTTTAACAATTATGGACTTAAAACACATACATAACCTCAAAAGATTTTTAAATTATAATATTATTACTATTTAATGCACTTATGCTTTACTAGACCCATCCTCCTAAATTGATAGGCCCGTCTTAGCTCGTCAGCCAGCTTACAGATTTGATGTAGTTGACAACGTCGCCGATAAGTGCTTCTCTTATATCGGCCGATATTAGCTAAAACTCGCCGAACACATCTTCTAATAAATGAGAGCATCGGATAATTGTAAAGTATATGTTCGATGGTATCATCTTCTGATTCTGTCAGTTCCATACTATGGAGATATTTACGTATTTGGCAATGATCTAATTACAGTGCCTGCGATCAGGCGCAGATTCTGTCTAGTCATCGTGAAGTATTTTGCTGTGTTGTTGTTAAGGTAACTTAAAAGCTTTCTGGAAAATTTGCAGCTTTTTGTTTCATCCCACATTCTCTGAGTCTTGTTTTGTTTTAGAACAGCCAGTGTAGAGATATGAATCGTACTTGCCACTTATGGCTCATCTATTTGTTCCGTTATAACTTTATAGGGCTTATGGAAGATATATCCTGATGAGATGAAGTTCATGTTCACTTAAAGAAATGGAAGCGTATCGAGTGCCTCCGACCAAAAGTGACGTCTCGCATCACGAGATCCTAAATCAGGTTCTATTTCAACCGTGCGGAGTCGTCATTAGTGATGGGCATAATCGAATGATCGTCATAATCGAATACTCGTATGATTGGAAATCGAATGTATCGAGTATTCGAATGATTTATATGCCATCATCAATTGGGTAGTTCAAGATCAATGTGCTAACCGTTAATATATTGATAGTTAACTATCCAATCAGAATGCAATACACCGAAGTTTAAAACGTCATACGTCAATATTTACTTTTAATTATCATGCAACCGTTTTGGCTTACGGCGCGCCGTTTACTGATTGGGTGTTTCCTCGATTTGACAGAGATCTATCCAATCAGAACGCAGTACACAAAAACCGAAGACGTAAGAACGTTGCATATGTGTATCCAACTTAAGAGAAATGAGTAATTTTAACGGCCTACTCTACTCCATATTTCAACAAGTTACCAAGTTAGTCTCGTTCGTTTATTACAATTTCAAACATTTCAAATGATTCGAATAATATTTGTATAATCAAATTAATTCAAATAATGCTGAAAATCGAATATTCGAATGATTTACCATTCGAATGATCACATTACTAGTCATCATTATCATCAGAGCAACCTTCTTGGTGTATATTATGAAGACTAGAGAGTGTAGATATCAATGGAAGTGAAACTAAGGGTATGGTCCTTTATTAACCGACAACTAACTGCAAGTAACCAGGATTTTTTGACAACGGTTCCTGAAACAAAACTAATTTTTTGGTTACATTTGGACCACGGTCGAGATTTACGTCACTTTTGTGACAGATTTAAAATCTTACAAATAATATTAAATAAACTATAACACTTTATTTACAGTAGAAAAATAAGCGACCACATGCGCTTTGAAAAATAGGTTGAAAAAGAACACCAAGGTGCCTAATCAGCTGTGCCCTCTATTGACACGGCTAGGCAGGAAAGTGTACAGAGTTGAACACTTTACTAAGTAAAAAAATTAGTTGCCTAAGCGAGTAAAGTTGAAAATTAGTATATTTGTTAGTCCATCCATTTTATTTAGGTCAACTAGTAGAACAATGCCAATGCAAATTATCTTGGAAGACAATGGACGGTATCAATAGATGGCAGGAAGCTCCGTAGTGTCCAAGTCATGTCTTTGTTAATTTTGTTGTCTTCTACCGAGCCATTGAGCGGTTGTCGAAACTATGAAGACTAGAGATAAGGAGGCGAATCGGCATGCTCAAAATACGGTCCCAAAAATCACACTGAGTTTTTATAATTAACCGCATGTGCGCTGGTACGGTTTACGTAGTTCAAAATACATGGTTTCTTATGAGAATTATACATAATTTTGTTAAAATAATAAAAATGCGAAATAAAGCACAGAACATACTGTTGTATTTATTTCTAAACAAGTCTTACATATTTTAATTGATACATTATTTACTATTTATTCCTATTTAAGTAAAATTCAAATTATTGATGATGTGTTATAATTTGATGGGTAGGGCTATTTTTTAATTAAAGCTAAATAGGACTGAGGGCATACTAAGACTAAATGAAAATATTTAGTTAGGGATTTTACAAAATTTTATGAATATAATAAAAATCAAATTGTTTATTGCTAACTAAAGCACAGAAAATACTGTTGATTTTAATTATTGTAAATAAGTCTTTGTTTTAATTGCTAACTAAAGTACAGAAAATACTGTTTGTATTAATTATAAATGAGTCTTTATGTTAAACATTATTTACTATTCATTATTTAATTTTATCTAAATAAAATGAAAATTAGGTATGACCAAATTTGAAAAGGTTTGTTAAATGGTGAAATTTGGTAAGTACAGTTTTGTGGTAATTTTGTATTCGACAACTACAATTTCATCATCCTGGTGAATAGTTTCTTCAGCAATAGTATTTTCTTCCTTTTTTTTATTCTAACACATTCAGTTCGATTCAATGGTGGTTTTCGTCTTTTCCTAATACTGGACAAGTATAAAGGGATATTCGGGAATATACATGGTATTGCTTCGTTCTTTAATCTCAGCGTTTCCCTTTTTATTTTGTTAACAGTACCATTAGTTAAAATAGTATCATCAAATTTTAAAGTATCATCTTCTAAAAAGTGTAGCTCGCAAACAGAATCATAACTAGACAGTACTTTATCAGCCCTAAGAATCACATTCTGCCAATGTTCTAAACGTTTAGGATCCTATAAAAAATATTTGCAATGACTAAATTGGAGTTCAAAAAAATAACAGGTAGTAACTCTTCATCTAAAATAAAAAACACATAAAAAAAACAACTTTTCTTTTCTAGTAAGTTAAATTTAATGTGTAATTATTGTTGTTTGTAAGTCAGGATTTATGACTTTATTATTTTTTATTATAGAATTTTGTAATTAAATAAACTACACTCCGTAAGATACGGGTTGTGACTATTTTACAATAAATATATATTATTTAAAAATAAATACATTATTTTACTTACACTAGGAGCTTAAAAAAGACTTGGATTTTTATCTCCTTTTGTTTTCTTTAATTTTATATCGGATTTATATCCCGTTTTTCAACCCGGAACGAAGCAAATCCTGCTTTTGTTACTCATTGTTACTTGTAGTCAGGTTCTTTATTTCAGCTTATTTTTATTCTTTTCACTAAATTTTACAAAAACCACTTTAATTCCCATTGACTTGTATAGAAAATAGACGTCGTTATTTTGCCACCCACCAACTACAGTAGTTTTTTGGAACTCCATAAAAATAGGGACGGAAATTTGAAATTTGACCAACGCCGATTCGCCTCATTATCTCTAGTCTTCGTAGTCGAAACTGAATAAGGAACGTAATTTCTCTATTTACTAATAGATGGAACGATAGCCGATTCAGAATATTTGATTTAAAAATGAGATTGACAAGTTTAATTGTGCATGATGAACATTTATTTACGATTTATCATCATTTTAGAGAAAATAAACAATATTAATTTAAATTTGGCAGATGGAAAATTAAGAAAACTTTATTTATATAGAATTCTATACTCAATGATCGAGGGAGCGCCTAGCACAAGAGCCTTTTTGATGAAGTTCTGTACGGTTCTAACAGATGTCGCGACACAATTACCTCCAATGAACCGTCCATAAGGTTGATCTACTAGGGTATCTAAATACAATGGTACATCAAATAACCAAAGTCACGTTAACGTCTTTTATACTACTACGCCATGTTTAATGTGTAATTATCTTTGTAGTCATGGTCGGCCATTATACTATTAAAATTTGAAACTTAAAGGATTATAAAGCCTTATTTTAATTTTCATATGTATCCAGTTTTTTTTATTTTTGAGAAATTCGCAACGGAATGGAGGCGAGCGTTTTTTTGTGGCTGTAAAATGTTATTTTGCGGCAATATAAATAGGGTAATCTTGAGCATAAGAATAAAACATTAATATAACATGCGGTAGTAGTTGTCAGAAAGTTTTCTATAAGGGTCCATTTTAGCCATAAGTAATTATTTGGTTAAAAAATGTACTATTTTCAAAACAACATGGAGAGTAAATAATCTACGCTGCACGAGAGGGCGAAACTGTATAGTTGTTTTTAAGTAAATTTAGCAACGTTTGAAACGACAAATTGCTACTTATAGTTAAAACTGCAACGTTTTAAAAACCCAAAAGTGATTGACCAAATTGTGACAACGTTGTGTTAACGTCGGCCACGCAACTTATGTTTGGTTGCGCAACCTTTTTAAACACGTCGCCGCAACGTTAAATTGTTACTTGGCAGGTTTTTAACATGTTCTAGCCAATTATTTGATTTTGCATTGAAAATTGATAATTCCTAACGAGCAGTAAATGCATGCAAATCATTTTCTGTCAAAATTTTAAACATATACTGTGGAAAATAAACTGCATACGCCTTCTTCGGGTACTACGTCCCGAAATTGTTAATTGAAAAAAGGCACTGATGAATAGTTATTAAACTTTGCATACAATCGCGGCGTGCATATGCATTGCGGTAACTTTTTTGGTATTTTTGCATATATTTCGGTGTTTTAGATATTTGCATGGACTAAAATAAGTCGCAAAATAATCGATGCACTTTAAACAATTAACAAACGTATGCTTTTTTGTTTTATTAAAATTGTTGATAAAATATCACGATTTAGCGACTTGCATACGATTCCGAATTGTACAACAAAAAAACTTGACGAAAAAAATTCGAAATATCGTTGAACCATTATTAAACAAATGCTATTGGAAATCATGATAAATTATTACGTGAGAATATTCATATATTATACACGATGTCCCATTGGTGCGTAATTGCTAGATAAATCAAGTCTTAAATAAAACTTATATGGATGAAAAATATTTTTTAATAAACAAGGTACGTTTCTGTCTGGAAAATAAAAATGTATATTTTTTAAATAGAACATCCTGTATTTAATTTTAGTTTTGGAATGGTCTAGTAATACCATATTCAACGCCTAAATATATTTAAAAAATATTATTATATTTAAAAAATATTACAGGGTTGCCAAGCAATTAATTTTTTTTGTGAAATTAAAGAATGATGCAGATGCTCTATAAAATTTTCGTAATTTAGGTAGGTTAGCAATGATTTCAAAATTGTTTAAAATATAGACTTATAAGATACGAATAGTGATGATAGATCTGGTTTATTTTATAAAGAGTGTTTAAAAACATGTAATAAATATGGTTCATTTAAGTTTAATTTCTTAAGTTTTTTAATACAATACCCTGCATATTGTTTTAGCATTAAATTCGTTATGAACTTACCTATCCAACGATACCAATATATCATCCTATTTTACATATTCAGGGTGTCCCATCAGTGCGTATATGATCGATAGCTGTTTTATTATTGGAGATACGAAGACATTTTTATTACAAAAGTTATGGGACGATAATATACAATTATTCATAGATCTACAGGGTAGTCCATAAATGAGGAGCGAACCAAACTTATACCTTTTAATATCAAACCATCTGGACAACCGATTTGATTGGTTTTACATCGTTAAACAATTTTAATAGACTTATAGTTTCCAAAATGTTTTCAATTTGATGTATACATTGTGTGAATAAACGCGAGTTTATGATATTCTCAATTTTTTCAAATTCAATACCCTTTTTTGTTATACCACCAATTCATAAATACATTTTTTAATTTTTTATTTTGTTTGGCATTCCCTATTCCAAAACGCATTTTTTCTCAAGATTTTGATGGTTTTATTATAAAAATTGGCAATTTTCTAATTCTAATTGGCTTTAAAAACTTTGGTCAGTTACAAAACTACAAATAGGTAGGTCCAATTGGTTTTCATAATTATTCAAATAAAACAATCCTATTTTCAACCTAATATCTCTGAAAATAAAAAGGGTTTGTTTCCTTATTGTCATCATTGTTTAGAACATCTTGGTATTTATAGGTAAAACTCAAGGACTGTGACAGAAAGACAGATGTCTTGAATTATTTACGAATCAAAAGCCAAGCTTATGACAATTATAAGCAAACGCCTAACATTTTTGTCAACATATTTTTCAGAAATAATGGACGTCACGAGTAATATAAGTAATGCAAAAGAAAAATTTAAGAAATTAATTAATATGAATTAGTGGTATAACGTATTCCATTTAAAAAAATTGAGAAAATCATATCCTCGCGTTTTGACACCCTCTATGTGTAACGACCTACGACTTGCTTTAAAAAAGTATAAGTTTGGTCAGCCTTTCGTTCATGGACCATCCTGTATATTTAAGAATAATTGTTAAATATTGTCATACAATTTTTATAATAAAAATGTCTTCGTATTTTCAATAATAAAACAGCTATCGATCATTTACACACTGCTGGAACACAATCTAAATTATGATAATTTTATTTGGAGCTTGCATCATTCTCTAATTTCATAAAAAAATGTATTACTTGACAAACCTGCAATATTTTTTAAAACTATTCTAGGGTTAAATACAGTATTACAAGACCATTATAAAACTAAAACAAAATATAGGGGATTCTATTAAAAAAATATACATTTTTATTTGCTAGAAAAAAAACATAACACCCTGTATATCCTAAAATATTGTATATATTGTTCAAATCTATATAACTATTTGAATCTTGTTTGTGTATCTATAACACAAATTGATTTATCGAGCAATTATACACTAATGCGACCCCCTGTATATTATATGAATATTCACACGTATTTTATCACTATTTCCAATAACATTCGCTTAATAATTGTTCAATGTTATTTCGTCCATTTTGTTAATAATTGTACACTTCGGAATTGTATGCAAGTGCCCAAATCGTGATATTTTATTAAGAATTTTATAAAAACAAAAAAGTATACTGTAATGTGAACCATTTCCGACCAATCTTGTTATGATCTGATCCTTTGGGTCCATCTGCCTTGTTTGGGCCTTTTTAAGAACCCCCTTGTCTTTTAAACAAGGGGATAAACCCACTTTATCTTACTATTATATGGTTAATTAAATTATGCTCAAGTATAAATAAATTAATTAGTACGTAGTGTAAATAAATTAAAAATAAACTGTTTTAAATAAATAAATAAATAGTTTTATAATTAACAATTTTTACAATACGTCTGTTATTTGGTCTGCGACCTATTTTAGCGTATGAAAATGTCTTAAACACTTGCAACTTTTTTTTCGCGTACATTTACCAAATACTTTCATATAGTCCAATTACATACATTAAATAATTGTTCCAAGTAATTAAAAAAAAACATGTTTACAAATTACCGCAACGCATGTGCAGGCCGCGATTGTATGCAAAGTAGCACTTCCTGATCTATTTAACGACAAAAATTTTGCTGTGAAAAAGCAAAGTTTAAATAATTGATAAAAATTGCTGCTGCTTTTTTTGCAACATTTAAATTGTGTTTGAATAGTGCTACACGACAGAACTGTGTGCAAATGTTTATATTGACAATGTACTATATAAACTTTATATTAAATCCCTTTTTAATTGTTAAATAATTGTTCCGAGTAATTACAAAAAAGTACATGTTTAAAAAATTATCGCAACGCAGGTGCACGCCGCAATTGTATGCAAAATAGCTTTTCGTGGTCTATTTTAGAATGAAAATAATACTGTGAAAAAGCATACGTTTAAAAATTGTTCTTTTATACTTCTTTTTTTACATGTTTAATGAACAATTTCGGGACGTAGTATACGAAGGAGGCGTATGCTGATTATTTTCCGCACTATATTTTTTCAAATTTTAACAAAAAACGATTTGCATGTATGTACTAATCGTTTGGAATTATCTATTTTCAATACAAATTCAAATTTGCTTGATGACGCGAACAATCTTAGATAATTGGCTAGAATATGTTAAAAACCTATAATAATCATAACTTAAAAGATGCATACATTAAAAAACGTTGCACAAAATCTGTCATTACCGGCTGGTCTATTACTATAGGCATGGACTATTTAAGATGGAATTTTAGATTTTATTAAAAAAAAAAAACAATAATAATAATAATCATTAGTAACGAACCCGTTGTGATTTGAACTATTCAATTAAAATTTTAATAGGATTCTAACTATATCTACTATTTTTCTGGAATGTAATTATATTTTGCATAAGTGTTTTTTCTGATTTTATTTCAAATTTAATGCTGCTCTTCAATCTAAATTGGAGAATTTTTATAGCAAAATTATGTTTTAAAACAACCCATTTAATTTAATCAATTAATATTTTCATGACTGTAATTTATATACAATCACAAAATTCTATATATTTATGATTATTTAAGAATTTTATGTACCAAATAGTTTAAAAAAGCAATTATTAAAATATTTTCTTTTTGATAATAATAATGTAATCCTACTAAATAGTTTTTTTAAACGTGCAATTAAACTTTTGAGCAAATGGCTGTTGATTTGTTTTTATAAATTAATTATTTATTCTTACCTGGATAGTACTGAATTTCTGTGACTTCTTCATTCTCTAAGGGCGCTGTAACAAAAAAGAAAAAAATATGAATTTGTTAAAATTTTAAATTAGTTCAAGATTGATTATTGACGATTTTTTTTATAAATAATTCCAGGTTTATTGTCAACCACAATGATTTATTAGTTAATAATAATTCATAGTAATGGATATCTATAAATCATTTTTTAATTAATAATTTGTTTAGGTCAATAAAATTATCAAAAAAATAATCTTAATTTTCAATGTTTCGGAACTTACTGCAACTAATTTCAATTATAGATTTTAAAATAGAACGCAATGTCTTACGAACTATTTATCTGTTTTTTGTATTTTCTATCTTAAAAAGTAATATTATAATAGAACTAAAGGTAAGGTTAAAGCTGGGAAAGTAATATTTTCGAAAGCTTTAACTGCATTGGTTTTGTTGAAAGATGAAAAGGATGATAATATTTTGAGCTCATTATTGTTTATACGAAAGGTAACTAAAGAATCATACAGATCTATGAGAATTAAACAGATCTGGGAGAATTGTACAGATCTAGGATCTAAGAATATCTAAGATCTAAGATCTGAGGATTTACTCATCAAAACCCAGCTCAATAAGGATCAATTTGGTTTGTTTAATCTAATTTGTAAAGATTTGAAGTAGCATTCCACAAATAATGTAAAAACTGAATCGCGTTCGCGACTTGACTTGTTTTTAGTTAGTCTAGACCTTTATTATTATCCGAATAGTTAGTTCTTCCTATAAACATTTTGACCTTGTTTCTACTACACCTCATTCGTTAAATATTTAGACTTATATAAAATGTAAACTTTTGTCTGATAAGATTAGAAATAACAAATAACAATAGTGATTACAACTATATTTCATCCAAAATTAGAGAGGTGACAGGTCCGATTCGAGGAGAGGGTGACTCACTCGCATTATCTTTCCCTTGAATATCACATGTCGGCCCTGAATAATTACATTTACAGATTTTTGTATCTGATTAAACTTCCCATTAAATGATGACTACAAATTTGCTAAGGATCTTTTAGTGTTATTTCCAAATGACGTAATATATTACTCAACGGCATCTTCATGTACCTTTCTTGAAATTTTAACAAGGTGCTTTATATAATAAAAAAACCGCATTTCACCATGATAGGATTAGAAATAATAAATACCTACCCTATATTGAAAACTAAACTATATCATCTAGAAAGAGACAAAGTCCAAATAAGACAGGTGTAAGACATGTGGAATGGAAACAGTGTAGTGTCAGAATGGTCCCTCCTTGACTCACTTAGTGACAAGATATTTATTTTTACTATTCATATTTCAAATATTCTGGGTCAAGAAACTGTTTTCAATTAATCGTAATCACAGAGATTTGTAGAAATTGTTAAAAATAATCTTTTTTTTTTTTCGTTTCATTTAAAGGCAGCCTATTTCTAATAAACCCTTTAATATACGGTTTTCAGTGGTCTTCAAAAGGCACTACAGCACTACATGTCCTGAAGATCCATGGCTTCATAATTTAAATTTGTTCTGCGATTTTTTGGTAATTTTCGACTCTCTGCTTAACTCCTCTTTGATCGAATTTATTCCCTTTTTTTAGTGCCTTACTTCTTACTTTTTTCTTCTTCTCTTTATTTTCCTTTAATCAAAGCTTTCGTTGCCTGCTTGTTATGAGTTTTTCTTTATGAGTTATTTTATTTTTACTTTTGTTAAGAAGCAATCAAAATCTTGAAATTATAATACAATTATTCAACGTTATTTTGATGAGTTTTCTTATTCTCAATTATATAACAATATATCTACAACTTTAATCAAGAAGACATTAAGTAATAAGTCTGTACATACAGTTAACCATGTGGGTATTCCTCCAGTGAGATATTCTCCTTTCCTTTTTAGTCGTAATAATTATTCTTGTCAATTTTCTCGAACACTAAACCAGGTAGTTAGCAGTTTTATAATAAATCAATTGGCATTCTGGGTTTCAATCTTCTGATCATTCAAATGGATGTCATAAGGTCATAGGGTGAAGCTGTTATCTCCCTTTATATCTTATGGCGAACTTACTTGCTTTCTCTTAAACGTATATTTCCTGTAAGTCTTTCTATATTTCTTGTTTCGTATTAAAACATGGTGCATCGAGTATGGCTCTTGGTTATCTAATGGGATATCTGTATTACTTTAATTGATCAAATCTGCTAAAAAACAATACTACGAAAATGGTATCTCAAGAGCTAAAAACTCTTCCAAAGAAAACCGGTCTATTATAAATGGCTTAAGTAATAAAACCCGTTCTTCAAACAACGTTAATCCTAGTCCAGATGAACTAAACAATTATTTTGTAAATTTTAGCAAGAATATCAACTCTAACATAGCTCCAAGTCAGGATGCTCTCTCCTTCCTCCTACTTTGCAAATAGTTTCTTTCTAAGAACAGTAGATATGCATGAACTCGTGCAAATCATAAACATCCAAAATAAAGCTTTCTGTGGAATTGGCGGCTTGTCCACTAAAATATTTTTAAATATACCTGATGTATATAACTGTCTATCTGTATCTGTAACGTGTGGAGGGTGGGTTACCCCCACGGCACTTAGGCCTCATTAGGCCCATTGTGCATCCTCCTGAGATGTTAGACACCTCCTAGCTCGTGAGCCAGCCTACAGATTTAATGTAGTTGAAAACGTCGCCAAGAGGTGCTTCTCTTATATCGGCCGGTGTTAGCCGATACTCGCCGAACACATCTTCTAATAAATAAGAGCGTCAAGCAATCGTAAAGGATATGCTCACTGGTCTCATCTTCTTGTTCGCACCATCTGTAGAGTGCGAATTCTGACAGCCCCATGATATGGAGATGCTTTCGTACTTGACCAGTCAGGATGCCTGTGACTATGCGCAGATTCTGTCTAGTTATAGTCAAGTATTTGTTTGCTACAGTGTTGTCAGGATAACTTAAGAGCTTCCTGCCAACTCTGCAGTTTCTTGTTTCATCCCATCTTTCCTTGAATTTCACAAGGGAATGTTCTTTGATTAGGTCTGTCACTACCGATTTTGTTAGGCCAATAGAAGGGTCAGGTCCAAAAAGTATTTGGTTGGCTGCTTTCTTGGCTAGTGAATCAGCAAGACGGTTTCGAGGTGGCGTGACTTTTGATCCATCTTAAGGTGACCACATTGTTGCCTCGTGACATTCTAGTACTAACCCTGAGTAAATTCGTGGTCTGATCAGGGTGAGTAGTGCTTGTCTGCTATCTGTATAGATGAGCATGTTCCTTCCAGTGATATTGTTGTGACATTGTTGCTTCGTGACATTCTAGTACTAACCCTGAGTAAATTCGTGGTCTGATCAGGGTGAGTAGTGCTTGTCTGCTATCTGTATAGATGAGCATGTTCCTTCCAGTGATATTGTTGTGACATTGTTGCTTCGTGACATTCTAGTACTAACCCTGAGTAAATTCGTGGTCCGATCAGGGTGAGTAGTGCTTGTCTGCTATCTGTATAGATGAGCATGTTCCTTCCAGAGATATTGTTGTGAAATTGTTGCTTCGTGACATTCTAGTACTAACCCTGAGTAAATTCGTGGTCTGATCAGGGTGAGTAGTGCTTGTCTGCTATCTGTATAGATGAGCATGTTCCTTCCAGTGATATTGTTTCTGGTTTTCTTTTGCTGCTATGGGAATCCCCGTTAGCCCTCTTTGAACTACACTGGCACTATTTCTCAAAGCCCATTTTATGTTTAGGTTTAAGAATCTGGATTATATTCCACATCCTGAGGCTTGTTTTGTTTTAGAACCGTCGGTGTAGATATGACTCGTACCTGCCACTTCCGGTTCTTCTATTTGTTCTGTCTATAATAGCTATAATAATCCCACTAAATAAGAGTGGCGACAAAATCAAAACCAGTAGCTATAGACCTATTGCCTTGTTACCTACCTCATCGAAGATAGTAGAAAGGCTAATGAAAAACCGCCACCTGCTCATTCTTCCCAAACATAACACCCTACCAGCTCATCAGTATGGCTTCCTTCCTAAAAAATGCACCAGTGCCGCAAAGTTTTCCTTTATTAATAAAATGTATACATCACCTAATGATAAACTCTTCACGGCTTTAGTATTTTGTGACTTCGCAAAGGCCTTTGATTGTGTTGATCATAAAATTTTAATTAAAAAACTACACATGGCATACGGGGTTCTCCTTTACAATGGTTTATAACTTACCTAGAAAATAGAACAGGTGCGGGAGAATGGTAAGGATACTACAAATCTACCAATAAGCAGTATAGTACCTCAAGGTTCAGTATTAGGTCTAATTTTATTTTTATTATTTATCAACGATATCACGGACTTACTTTATTTGCCAATAACACGATTGTAACCTGGAATAATTCTGACATGCAGACATTACAATCTATCAAATAGTAATGCATTTTTTAAAAATTCTTCAATAAATTTACCTGTAATGAGGTCATATCCGGGTGGTTTTTAGGATAAGCTATTTCAATGGCGATTTTAATGTGTCTAAGTAAATATTTCTCATATTTGGATTACTCGTGTCAAATGAGAAGAACAACTTGTAAATAGTGATTAGTATTATCATTTTGTGGTGTTTTTGATCATGTTATCATATGGTATTATGACAATTACAAAATAAACGCAATTAGAATACAATAGCCAATTATTATTTAAATATATTAAAATATTCAATCATATTATATTAATCTTATTAAAATAGCCGATCAATTAATCAAAACAAAATTGTCGTTTGAGCAACGCTTCTTCCATTCCCTAGCTGCATTAATATTAGCTATAAATAATAAGTAAGTAGTATTGCGAGTTGAGATTAGTAGCACAATAATTCATTCATGTTTCTATTTTTAGAATGTTTATAGTTCAGACGTAATAAATTATAAAATATACCTGTTAAATATATTAATAATGACATGATAGATGGAACGATGTAAAGATTTGTTATTATGGACTTTAATGTACATCTTGTACCGACGTCATATTTTCGTTTTTTAATTGAT